CTTTGGGGACAAAAAGGAGGAGGATTGGCAATAGATGTTAGCTCAGAGCCGGTCTTCCTCAGCAAAAAGAGGAGGATTAGCATGGATGTTAGCTCAGGACTGATCTTCCTCACAAAATAAATAATAAAAAAAGAAGATTCAGACTAGGACAGGCTGGGGAAATTTTTCCTACAGGAGGCACATCTAAGGAGAAGGCTCCCGGCAGCTAGAATGTAAGCTCCATGCAGGCAGAAATTTTATCCAGTATCCTCTGGTGCCTAGCAATGACTGGCAAAGTGTTAAAAAAGAAATTATGTTGAATGAATGCATGGATAAACATCTGAAAGTGGCCCCGGGACGACTGGATTGACAGGGTTTTAGAAAGTGTGATAAAGTGCAAGCAAATGCTAAGTATGATAAAGCAAATTGGATCTTACACACTACCTCACAGGGTTGTTGAGAGAAGATGTGAAAGCACTTTGAAAACACCAGTCAATATGGAAATGTAGAGTTTTTATTCTATAATCCTTAGTGCAAGGGAAGTGGTTGAAAAATCATTGCTAAAAGATTTGAATTTTCTATTGTAATTCCCTAAAGCTACAGACTAAGAAATATGTAAATCAAGAGAAATGAATTGGCCTCTTATTAATGATTCATCAAGAATAAAAAGACCGTCTTACTTGGCCATGGATTTTTAGACCAATTTGACTTCCAAATCCTAACTACTTACTTGCTACATATCAGAATTACCTGAAGAGCATTCTAAAATTTCAGATTCCCAAGCTCCTCCCCAGATTTACTGAATCAGAATCTCTGGGAATGAGGTCTGGAAATCTGTTTTTAAATGTTCTCTAGAGGATTCTACAGCAATGAGCCTTGTGCATTATACTCTTTATGTCCCCAGTATGACAGAATTCCTAACAAAAATATCCCTGCAGCTTGCTCTTATAGTCTTTATCCATGGGACTTGGTTATGAGTTCCAGAGTCTGATACAGAGAGATGCAGGTAAATCTATTGTTGGTGGGCCCACCCCACTATTTAAAAATACATGTCAGTCACGCCTAAAACTCAATAGAAGGCAGAGCTTAGGCTAGAGCAAGTCAGCAAACTCTTTCCGTGGAGGACCAGATAAATATTATAGGTTTTGTGAGCCACACATTTTCTGTCACAACTACTCGACTTCGCCGTTGCACTAGGAAAGCAGCCATAGACAATATGTAAACAAGTGAGTGCGGCTATGTTCTAATAAAATTTTATTTCTAAAAATAGGCAGTGTGCTAAATTGGGCCCACAGGCTGTAGTCTGCTGACCCCTAGACTAGAACTTGGATCACATAAAGGACTTTGGAGCTCAGGGGACAGGCCTAGACTGCAGATACAAATTAAGGAGAAATTACCTAAGAATGGATAAACTCACCCAGGACCAATGAGAACTAAGAGCCACGAATAGAACCTAGAGAAACACTGACATTTTAAAAGGTGGACAGAGATAGAGTCTGTAAAGGAAATTAAGAAGGAATGAAAAAAAAAACACCACAAAACAGAAGTGTTAGGGCAATCAAGAAAAACGAGAAATAATCAACATTATTACATGCTGCAGAAAGAAGTGCTCCTTTCTATCATCAGACATCCTCGGCCTGGAATCTACTTAACCTCTGTGTTTTCTTATATTTTGAAATATTTTATAATCTTTGCTTTTAATATTTTACATCTCAGATTTTACCTGCTTATATTGTGGGAGCATTTAAGCATAAAGACTCTAATATGAGTTGGTTTAGATTAACACGTAAACTTTTTTCAGAAAAAAAGAGAAAATATTGCTAAAAGTCCTATTTTCAAACATTTAAAATTATAGATTTAAGTTGAATAGAAATAAAAATCAAACCTGCTTCTAGGTGTTTGGAACTTTCACCGCATTGGTTTGAATCCTTTCATGATATAGTTGAAACTGTGGTCAGTTCAGCAACCTCTATACATTGTTAAACCACATCCAAGAGCCCTTTGTTGACCAATATGGGCTATCAAAAGCTCAAAGTTAAGGGAATCACTACAGCAAACTTTGGGGGATGGTTTGTATGAGTCAGGATTCAATCAGGACACAAAAAACCACACAATTTAAACGGTAAATTTAATACAAAGCATTGTTAACTACAGTAGGAGATTGCAATAAGCAGGGATTGGATAGTAACAAGTAAAGAGAATGCTGAGGAATATGAGAAAAGCAGATATAAGGAGGAGCTACTACTCTTAAAGTCGAGAGAGAGCGCAAAGAAGAGGCCCCTCCCTCTCCAGGCTGAGATCCTGACCTTAATGGAGAGTGCACAGCCTTGCAGTTTGAGGGGAGTGCCAGAGGAAGCTGCTGTCCCCTGGATGCTGCTGGCATTGGAGGATCCTGGCACTGGACAAGTTGCCAGCACTGCAGGAGCTGGACACTGGAGAAGCCACACATGCTGCAGGAGCCGACCAAAAGGAGCAACTGGAACTAGAAGAAAAGCCCCTTCCTCCTGCAGTCTCTCTCCAGCACCCCCTACTGAAAGAGTATAACATCATGCCAGTTGGCAAAGGAAAAATACTTTAAGGGTCCATCTCTATTTTTGCTGAGCAGGCAATGAAGGGTAAACTGGGATTGAGAGGCAACAAATTGATTACTGACATGATAGTGTGTACTTTAGCCTAACAAAACTCCCTAAGTGACCTCCTATCAGCAACATCTTTGGTTCTGGAATATGCTCTGTCATAAAATGGTACCTTCCAATTTTTTGTTGTCTTGTCCTAAATGTATATTTTCTAGGCTATGAAATAGAGGGCCAAGTTTTACTTCAAAATACTCTTGAACTCATTCTCTTTAACCTCTTATATCCCATCCATCACCAGATGCCATAAATTTTATCTCCTAAATATATCTCAGATGTGTCCATTCTTCTCTATCCCCACTGCCACCACCCAAGTCCAGCCATGATAATTGATCTCTTTTCTGAACTAATACAATAATCACCCAATAGTTTCCCCCACATCCACCTTAACCTCTATTCGATCTATTTCCCACTCTGTAGCTAGAACACTCTTTTTTTTTTAAAAATAATTACAGATTCACAAGAGGTCGCAAAGAAACATACAGAG